AAAGTTGAGGAAACAAGTTAGTTTTTCTAACATGAGGGAGAGACATGATAAACAGTTGAGAAAAAGTTACGTGGAATGAATTATCATTTGTACATCTAGATCCTCGAATAAGATAATATGAACTCGAGGTTCATAAAAAAGATAATTCATTTGCAATATATTGCAAAGCATGCCAGACGCATTTGCCGACCCAAAGAAAGTAACTATATTCTCATTGCAAATGCTCTTATTAAGTCCTAGAAGGACAAAGTCTATGGTAAGCTTAAAGCGTATAGACAATCAGTTTCAAATAAACTTCTTGATAAAGAAGATGAGCAAATGATCAAAATGATCATAATAAAGGAGGCAAGTGATCTAGAAGATCACATGACATAACACTTCATAAAATCTCATGAGAGATTCAGGTACCTGAATATATGAATGAAGAGATCTCTATGTTATGTCATTATGAAAATATATTGAAACTGATATAAAATGTTCGTCGACGACATCTATGATAGCGCTAAGTATAGATAAGGATCTTAAGCCTGTCGCTTACAGACACAAAAATATTGGCCAAATTGAAGAGACACAATTCAAATAGAATTGGTTTCATATGAAAGACATGTAGTTTTGAACGTGTAGTTCAAACACTTGAAAGTATAAAGTCAATGGTATGTGCAATCAGTTTTCAATATCTTATATGTTAGCATGACATGAAAACTTGATATGCACCTAAAGTCTATTATATGGCTTATATGACTTAACTTATTCGACAATCCATGAAGGATTTAAGTTGCTTGAAGCATATACAATTCTTGATCTTGAAGTACCACATCCTCAGTGCAATTTGTGCATATATGTATCTCGCTATAATTATAAGAAGGATAATACGATAGCGAGAATCTCTATGGAGATATTGAAGAGCCATTCCACGACATTATATGAAGACATTATATATCTATCAAGAATGATGATTTCAAGGTGCAATATATCCATTCAAGTTAATATGGCTGATTTGTTCATCAAATCTCTACCAAAGATCTTTTGAAGATGGTGCACGAGATTGGAATGCAAATGCTCAAGGATGTGAATTGATGCTCTCATCAGGGGGAGTTAATACGCGTTGTACTCTTTTTCCCTTACAAGGTTTTGTCCCACTGGGTTTTCCTTGCAAGGTTTTTAACGAGGCAACCAAAAGGCGTATTATTAGATATGTGTACTCTTTTTCCTTTTCTAGATTTTTTTTCCCATTGGGTTTTATTTTAGTTAAGGTTTTAACGAGGCACATTATCTGTTGAATAGACATTCAAGGGGAAGTGTTATAAATAGAATTTTATTCGTGGTGAATGTCTATATTTAGGGAGATTCTAGGGTTTATTACTTGGTGGCTA